GAGTCAGATGCATTGATATGGCTGATATGTGTTCTGACCTAAAATCTATTGCTAGGGTCATTTTCACTTCTGGACAGCCATCCAGCAAGATCAGAGACTTGAAAGACCATTACAGAGTCTGGGCTAGAATTATTCTGGGATTTATCAATCACAGGAAGCCTACAAGCTTTCCTGATTACATCAACATTGATCAGCAGTTTCTGTTATACTTCATTGCAAAGAAGACCAAAATAAATCTCCCACATTTGCTCTTCAACCATCTCAGAACAAGTGTGAAAGAGACGAGAGAAGAAGAAAGAACTAAGAGGGATTGGATTCCTCTGGGAAGATTGATTCAAATATTCTGACGGAAAACAGGTTGATAGAACATCTGACAGAGGCTCAAGAAATCAGCACTCTGGAAGCAACTGCTGAGAAACCACTGAATGCCAAGAATATGAAGAAAATGAAGATTATTGAAAGCATTAAGAAGGAACCAACAATTTCTTCTCATGAGGTCATCACTTCTAGGAGAATTCCTCTAAAGGATTTCCCACTATTCTCTGAGATATATGCTTCTCTAGAGATTATAGTCAGATACCTTGAAGCGTGCAAGGAAGATGGGACTATTCTAGAAATCAACATCCGTGACCTGCACAAGCCAGCTCCAGAGGTTGTGCTAAAGAAATCCAGAAAGAGGAAGGTAGCAGGAGAAGGATCCTCTTAGAGGACACCCAAAGCTGCGAAAAAGAAAGGTAACATATTTTTTATTTCTGTTGTAGAATCAATAGTTGTTCCAACATCTAAAACCATTCCCCCTCAACCAACAGAAAACCCTTCACCTCAAACATTTTAGGAATTTTACATAGAGTTTGACTCATATGTAACTCTTGGAAATTTCTTAAATGAAACTCACTCCCCCATTCCAAATTCAGAACAACATCAACCAAAACTTGCAAGAGTTCTCTCTGATATTGAACTGTTTGATCAAGACTTTTCCTCACCAATCCCAGAAAATCCAAACACTCAAACTCAACAACCAGAAAATCCACAACCACACTCACCTCAACCATAAAATTAAAACCCCCTCACTCCTCAATCTGAAAATCCATCTTCTGAAACACCTGAACCAGAAACTCAACACGCTACCGCAAACCAATCAGAAGACTCCCTTTCAGACTCTGATACCACTACCCCAATTCCTGGGATAACAGAACCTCTTACGATTCGTTTACCTCTCTCCATTCATGATATTCCAGAAATACCTTCGCCGTATGAATCCACACCACCAAACACTCCCCACTCACCAATCCTGATTTCTGATTCTTCTACTCCCTCACCAATCAACCGTCCAGCTGATCATCTCAAAACTGTCATTGATCTAGAAGCGTTGGACCATCTAGCTTCCACCTTAAATGAAATAGCCATTCCCAAACCCAAACCAACCTTAACCAAATCAGATGTTGGTAAGAACCTGTTGATTTTTGAAACAGAAATACAGGAATGAGTTACTTCTTTGAAGCAAGCAAGTTAAGAGAATTCTAATCCTGCTGCCTCTGATTCTCTATGGGATAGATTCAAAAAATGGTTCAACTCTGAATCCTAGAAGCTGAAAGAATTGAGCTATGAGATGGCTCAGCAGAACTTCAGTGATCAGCTGAAAGCCTTCAAAGATTAAGTTCTAAGTCACTGGGACAAGAAAGAAATTCTTCTGCTGGAAAATGCTCCCTGGAAAGAGCACCAACCTTCAGAAGCCACTGAACCAGACTCTGATAGTCACCCTCTGACTACTACTCCAAAAAAAGAAATTTCAACAGAAGAAGTTGTTCAATCAGAAGATGCTGCAGAGTGTTCTGAACGACATGCAACCCCTGAAGATACACCAGCTTCGTCTCTAGTCATGCAAACTCTGGAAGAGTTGAAAAAGGAGAATGCTTTAATCCATGCCAGACTGGATAAGCAAGAAGACACAAATAAAGAGATCAGGGATATATTGGACAAATAAGAAGATACAACAAAAGAAATCAAAGACATTCTGGGAAAGCAGGAAGAATCAAGCACTCAGATTAAGAGCTTGCTGGAAGCGTTGTTCACACGACTTCCCCCTCCTTCTTAGATTTCCTTTAACTTATTATATGTATTCTTCATCTTATCCTCTTTGTTTCTGAAAAATGTCATTGCATTCTGTTTTCAATACAAATCGTCTTTTTGACTCTGATTATATTTCTTTTTGATACTTGACAAAAAGGGGGGGAACGTAAGATATTTTCAATAACAGTATACCGAAACAAAGTCTCAAACATTATGAATATCTTAACTTCTATGTTTTTCTCTGAAAGCTTGAACATGAACATATTCTGATAAGGACAGAAGGAGATGCATCAAAAGCTCTGGCGAGAAGGAACTTTAGGGAAGTATCTCATATCTATCTGAGTAATCAACTCAGGGGGAGACTCTCTTAAGCTTTTTGTTCTATATTTTTTATTGAAAATCCTAGTTTTGTCATCATCAAAAAGAGGGAGATTGTTAGAATATAGTTTGATTCTACAACCCTTAATTAGAGTTTTGATGATAACAAACACAAAGAACAAATATGCACTCTAAATTTGTGTTATTTTTTATACAAAAGTTCTGACTGAAACAGCATCAGAAGTTAAGCTACAAAAGCTTTCAAGCTGAGATAATCAGAACATTCTGAAGAATGATGATCAGAATCTGCGTTGAAGTAAAAGATACTCTGACTCTGAACAGAAGTCTAATATGCCAACAGATCCTCACATCTGAGTCATCAAAGTTCTGAAGTAAAAGCAGCATGCAAGATTCTATTGTTCTGAAGCGTTACTTTTCAATTAAGACAATATCATATGCAACAGATTCATTTAGACAAGAATCTTCTCAGTATGGAAAGTGCATTGAGTGTCCATTATCACGCTTTATTTTGGACAAGATTTCCATGCTATATAAACAAGCTTAAAGGACAAATCGTTCACGATTTTCACCTACGACTGCTCATACATCTTAAACGCTGCAAATGCTCATATTCTCTTATACTCTCAAATTGTGTAATATATCACAGTAGTGATACAGTTTTTGTAACGAAAAACAACAGTACATAGTAAATCATTTTCTTTTGATTAAGCTAGTTTTCCTTGAGATAAACCGGGTTGTGGTTGTACTCAAGAAGACTTTGGCAGTTGTCAAAGTAGTATTGTAATCAGTTTTGATTAGTGAATTAAGTCCTCGTTGAAGAGAGGCGAAATCATCTTGGCAGGTGGACTAGAGTAGTTTGAGATCAAACGAACCAGGATAAAAATATCATGTTTACTGCTTTTGATTTTAAGTTTCAATTCAATCCCCCCTTCTTTTGTTTTTCACTTCTTCAAAAAGTAGTGAAAGTATCTTTGATCTTCGAGTTTGAGGAACATGAAGACGAGGAAGATGGTTTCCCACAGACGACGTCACTGATCTTACCGATTGATCAGTAGCTGAAACTGGGCATTGATGATGGCGTCTGCTTCGCTGGAAATATAAGGAGAGGAGGGGGGTGTACCTGCAAGGCACTTCGACGATCAAGTAAGAATGGGTGCAAAGAGATATAAGAAAGATATTATGGTTTCTAGAGTGAATATTGGATATTTGGCCCTCACAAGTGTGAGAGTTTATATAATGTCATCAGCGTATAACCATTGGTTCCTATTTTTGGGCCTAGATATTCGGGTCAGTGAAAATAGATAACTGTCAGGACTCGATTAAAACGGACAGTCGTGCCCGTAACTAGTCGTTGCTTTGAGGAAGGGTGAGATGACAGGCACATGTGTCTCGAGCGTTTTCTTGGTTGTCTGCTCGACGAGCAGCGATCCAACTTGGAATTGGTCGTTGATGCGGGCAGGCGCACGACCAGGGCATCGCAATCTCTGATATTTCCATGGTGCGATCGATTAGGTGTGCTCGACAAGATATCAGAGTTAGTGGGTCAAAGTTGTTTGGGTCACGCAAAGGGTAAAAGTGGGTTGGGCCGATTCTAATCATTGAGTTAGTCCAGAATACTTTTCATTCATACTGATATAATCCCATCATTTTTAAAGACTTACTTGAACGTCGAAGTACTAACTTTCTAAATACTCCTGGTTGATCATCATAGACCTCAATCATTGTACGGTAAATCTTTCTATGATGATCATCTTCTACCTATATATTTTATGTTCTAGTACAAGATAATTTATCAACAAATTATGAAAATAATCTCTCTAAATTTCTGAAGCTTAAGCGAGACGTATTTATGGAAGAGATATTAAATACATGTTATGCAAATACATTAAAAAAATTGTATAGTTTGTTTTATTTTTTTATTTAAAAATATATTATTAAAAATAATTAAATTTAAATTTTTTATTATTATAACATATTTTTCTATTTAATTTAGGAGAAATTACACTCGAGTATCATAAACCAAACAAAACGTAAAATAAAGTAAAAATTAAGTTGTTTCAATTTATTTATTTTTCGTTTTTCTTACTTTTTTTTAATGACAAAAACTAAAATTAATCTTCACTATTTTATATTTATTTTAATTTTCTTTTTATTTTAGATGAAAGAGAAATTATGTATTAATTAGACAGAGCCAAAGTATAGAGTGTGTACATAAAACATTTTCATATTTAATATATAATTACTATATCTTTTAAATATATTTAATTAATACTAATTTGTCTAAGATATATAATTAATCACTTATGTAGTGACACATGTAAATTAGCCTTGAATATAATTTCCAAAAATCTTTGGGTTGATTTGATTTATTTTTTTCAAAAGAAGCAAAGAGCAAATACAGCAAAGCACAAGAACAATTCCTCTAATATCATTTCAAAATCTTCCCACCATTCACACCTTAAGCTATAAGCTTTCTCTTTTTCTTTTTTTTTTCCTTTCTTTTTATTCATATATTAACAAATAACACACACTCGATTTACTATTTCATTCAACAGAGAGTTAGGGTTTAGTTCTGTGAATGAAATTCAGAGATGAAAAAACTGAAATTATCTTGTTGTTCTTCAAAGTGGTCAGAAAGTGAGAAAGAGGTTGCTGAAATCCTTCGTGATTTATACCGTATTTCATTGTTGAGCAGTATTCCATTAAGTTGGATATGTAAAAGAAAGAGATCATTCATTCAAAACAACACTTCTCCTTCTCCAAATAAGCGACTCTGTACTTTTAATCGCGTCGTTCTCAAAGGTGAAGCTTCAAGTATCAAACACTCGAACATCACTATTTCTCTCAAAAAGGTTTTTTTTTTCTTTCTCAATTTTATTTATATTTTTTTCTTCTCTTTCTGCATATGTTCAATCACATTTTTGTTTGTATCAATAGAAAAAGGAATCATCTCTTAAAACTATTCAAGATTTGACGGAAACCAAAAGTTTGCTCCATCAAGTAAGTTTCTTTTTTAATGCTTAAATTTAACTTTAGAATGTTATTTTTCTTATTGTTGTTTTTTGAAATATTATTCTTTAAAAACAGGAGATAGAGAATGTGAAGAAATATCATATTCAGCTCAAAATTTTCAATCTGAACTTGAAACTAAAGAAGCAAGAGGTATTTTTCTCAATAATTTTCTTTTGTTTTTAGGGTTTTTTCTAGAGTTTTGATAAAAAAATATTCTTATGGAAGTCGCCTCTGAAACAATTTTTGAATTGAAATTTCAATCCTTTTAAAAATTATGGGTCTATCCTTTTAAAATCAAGAGCTTAAAGAGCTTAATCAAAAGCACTGAATTTTTTATATAGAATTCAAAGATGGGTCTATCCGTTATTAAAACTTTTGACTATTTTATTTAAAGAATTTTTGAGATTTATTTTTTCTATTGTCAAAGCTTCGGTCTTCAATCTTATTGAAATTATATTTATTAGTTGATTTGTTTTTGTGTTATGATCGTTAAGATTGTAATTTATCTGCAGTTATTATGTAAATCAAATTTAGAAAATCAATATAAAGTGCAATTGGATGATGAAACTAATGGTTTGGTCAAAACTTCAGAGTCAACCGGCGAACATAAAGAGCAAAAAAACCAACTGCAGAATAATGGGCCTTTTTCTATTGAACTGGGCCAAAATAATAATGGCCCAATAGAGATATTGCAGCAGCTCAGGCTAGACAGAGAAGGCTTAATATTAGAGAACAAAGAGAAAACAGATGGAAAAAATAAAAAAATAATAGAGAGAGAAAACAAGACAATTATTATAGCTCAAGAACAGAAGTAACATCGATCTTGATGTTTGTTAGTTATTTCAAGTCATCGGGATGATCTGAAAAGAAAGAAAACAACAACTTTGGTTAGTAAAGTTAAAAGTTTTTTTTTTTTAACATAAATTTTTGGTGGACTAACCCTTGCACCACTGTTGAATATTAATATATTTATTTGCCTTTTTGAAAGAAAATTAATTTTGATGTTTATTTATTTTGTTTTTTAGAAATTTAATTGTTGATATTGATCATTAGTTATTATTGTGATCAAATAAAAAATAAATGAAAATTTTAATGGGATTGTTGAATTGTAAGCACATATTAAGACTAAAGAGATATGGTGATTCTGACCATAAATATTATTGAACACAATATCTTATAATAAATGTTTGAGATTCCTAATTTTGTTGAAATTTGAATTAAATGAGGAAGTAGTGCCCACAATGTGATAGTTTTTATTTTGTTTTTCTTGGGCGTAATAATAATTTACAAAAGCATATTCTCTTTTATTCTATTTTTTTTACTAAAAAAATATTCATTAGTTCAAATTAAAAAATACCATTATTACAAATTCAATATTATTAAAAAAAAAAAATCTGCAAATAATTTTACAACACCTAATTTATAATAGGATACAGCTGCAACATAAAAAAACACAAAATATAAGTAATTAATATATTCATATTTTTGAATCTATTCCATTCTTCATTTATACCAATAAATACTGTACTATTACAGAAAAATCAACAAACTTTGCACAAGACGATGAAAATTTATACAAACTTATACATAAGACGATGAAAACTTATAAAAGAAGCAAATATATGTGACTAACTGTTCTGGACTGGGTCTGCCCTGGCCCAAAGCGCAGGTAAAGGCCCAACCCAAGCAAACTCCTCGAGGAATATGCACCCGCGGATCGCCGCCGACGCGCCCGACTACAGACTGTAGCCACGCCCGCTATCGCCCGCGCACATGGTGTCCCCGACCAAGGGAATTCCAGCTCGTGTCCTGCTCGAGCACTCTCCTCGTAGGGCAGATTCTGTCTTCTCTGACCGTTATCGAATCATCTAAACTCCAGAAAGACCGCGTCTTCGTCCTTCTTCATTCTTCGCAGAGCATCACCAGGAAGGGGATCACGTGCGGAGCCCCACTACACACGTAGAACCTGGCAGTTCCTTTATTGGGCCAGTTCTGATCGACCCAATGAGGGGACCTTGGCCCAGCGCTGGGGGCTATAAATACCCTATGTTCTTAGAGGGTCAGGTATTCATCTCTTACGCATCTATACACTTTTTACCTGCTCATTCCGTGACGGTCCAAGTCTGATCAAGTAAGATCAGTGGCGCCGTCTGTGGGAAACCAGCTTCCCTGTCTTGCAAACTCTCGAAGACCAAAGCTCAAAATCACCTCCAACCGTCATGGCTAACCAAGTTCAGGACGACCAGAACGTCTGCGTCGTCGACGTCAACAACAACCTCGCGGATAAAAACGGAATTCCCGACAACGCCAGCAACCCCGGCCATAGCACGCTCCTCGAGGGCACCATCCCCGGGCCCTCGATCCACCGAGACGGAGCTACTGCCTCATCTTCTTCGGTCCCTCCGCCACTCGAAGAAGACAATACGGCTCCCCCAAACTATCTAGCTACCCAATTTCAGGAAGTCCTTGTCCCCGCCAGGGCAGATGCCACAACCCACGCACTATTCGCGGCGATCAATCAAACCAACTACCTCATCTTTGCCCAGGGGGAAAGATTGAGGGCGCTAGAAGACGATAGAAGACTCGCGAGGAGACACAGGAGGCCTCAGACTCCACCTCCTCGAGTAACAGAGGTACGTCTCCCATCTCCCCGCAGAGACAATACAGAGACACCTCCCGAAGCCCGTCTCCCCGACCGTCGGGGAGACGACCCCCCCTGGAGAGGAAACCCATCATTGAAGCCGGAGGGCGCAACCATGGCCCCATACGACAAGAGAGAAGACACGCTGGAGATAGGCACGGGAGAATTGACCAACGAGCACCCCCCTCGAAGGATACCCAGCACGACCGGGACTGTCAGGCACGACAATATCTCAGGTCCCCATCCCTATCCCCAGAGCGAAGTGACGAGGACGACCCCCGCGTTCCCCTTTCACAAGCCATCGTGGAGGCGCCCATTCCCTCGGGCATGGAGAAGCCCCCACATCTGAAAGAATACGACAGAGTCGCGGACCCAGTCGACCATATAGATGGGTTCGAGGCTATGCTGTATTACCATAATTTCGGGGGACCCATCAAATGCCGGTTGTTTCCCACGACCCTCAGAAAGGCAGCAATGGATTGATATAAAGGCCTCGCCCCGGGATCAATCACCTCGTGGCGAAACCTGAAGAATCAATTCATAAGTTCGTTCACTGCATCTCGGCGACACCCGAAGACCGAGGCAGCACTCGAGGCCATCATCCAGAGACAAGATGAAACCTTGAGAGAATTTATCAATTGCTTCAATCGTGAAGCCATACAGGTCCCCTGCGCGGACCACATGAAAAGGTACTTGCTAGAGAGGGGGCTCCTCCCCGGCACAGAATTCAGAAAGGCGGTGGGCATCGAACCACCCTGAACATTCGACGCTCTCCTCGAGAAGGCCCGGGCATATATGGATTACGAGGAAAGGGAGGTGGCCAACAGAGCCCGGGACCCCAGGACTCGTGGATCCAGCAGCAACCTGCACCAAGAAGCTGCTCCTCCTCGACGAACCGGGGAGAAAAGAAAAGAGGACAGACCCCGAGAAGCCCGAGAACAGAGAGGACCCTCGGGGCGTTTCACAGAATACACTCCGCTCACGGCTTCCTGCGAGCGCATCTTGGCGGAGTGTGCCAGCACGAATTTCAAAGATGGCGACGTCAAGCGCCCTCGACCTGCTTCTACCAAGCCCGAAGTAGACAAGAGCAAATACTGTTAGTACCATAGGAGCCATGTTTATCTGACTGAAGACTGCGTCCACCTCAAGGACGCCATCGAAACCCTCATCAAGGGAGGGAGGCTCGCCCAATACCGGCGAAACGACGCTCCTCGTCGCGACGCCCGGGAGACGAGAGAACTGGAGGAGGACGCCCGACCATCTGACGAATCGGTCCTCATCCAGACCGTCTTCTCCATTACCATACCGACGGACTTCTACGTCCCTGAACACCTGCAGGAGCCGCTCACAACGCACAGCGGGTGGGAGTATTTTCCCTCTACCATGGTCATCAATGGTGGAGGATTCAACAACCTGACCATAAATTCAGCCAAGAGGAAGCTGGATGAACTGATCGACTCTGCCCCTCCTCAGGCCGTGACTTTTGAAAGGGTGAAAGGTAGGTCAGAGCCTATCACCTTTTACCTCGAAGAGCTCCCCGGAGGAGCCCCCAACGCGGTCATTCCTCTGCTAATCAGAGCAAGAATGGATAACTTTGACGTACATCGCGTCCTCGTCGACAAATGAAGTTCCATCAACGTGATGTACAACAAATTATTCCGGACCCTACAGCTAGACGACTCTCACCTCTCGCCATATGTGGGGTCGGACTTACAGGGCTTCAACGGCTCAACCTCCAAACCTTGGGGATATGTCGAGCTCATGGTTACCTTCGGCGAGGACACGACGACGAGGCGGGTCAAGGTGCGCTTCCTCGTCATCGACTGCCCGTCCCTCTACAACTGCATCCTAGGGAGACCAACACTGGCAGAACTGAACGCAGTACCTTCCACCGTCCACTTGAAGATGAAGTTCTACACCAAGAGGGCACGGGTCGCCACCATCCAGGGGGACCTGGCTGCTGCTCGAAGGTGTTTCAACGCCGCATCCAAGGGACGCGACACGGTCGACACTGGGACAAGGCCCGCTAAAAGACTAGCGACGGCACGACAGGAGCCCGACAAGCCAGAGCCCGTCAAAACAGAAGAGCAGAGAGCTCCCCCAAAGGTCGACTCCATAGCTCTAGACACCCGTTTCGATCAGGATGAACCTCCCAACGGCGAGCAAATCCCCCTCCGACCAATTTCGGACGGGGTCTTCGAGCTCGTCCCCCTCGGCGAGGACCCAAGCAAAGGAGTAAAGATTGGTACCGACCTCCCCGACCTGGCAAGGAAGCAAATCAAAGCCTGCTTGCGCGAAAATGCTGACTTGTTTGCATGGAGCGCCGCGGAGATGCCCGGACTCGACCCCGAGGTCGCCTGTCACCGTCTCGCCATAGACCCAACCGCTAAGGCAGTAGTACAATGTAGGCGTATGCAGTCTCCGGAGAAAGCGGAGGCTGCTGAAAAAGCTGTAAAAGACCTCCTAGAGGCAAATTTTATTTCTGAAGCCCGGTATTCAACCTGGATGTCAAATGTTGTACTAGTCAAAAAGAATAATGGAAAATGGCGGATGTGTGTTGATTATACTGATCTCAATCGGGCATGCCCAAAGGATGCTTTTCCTTTACCGAACATAGATATGCTGGTTGACAACTCGGTCGGTTACAAAATACTATCGTTCATGGATGCCTATTCAGGCTACAACCAAATCCCAATGGCCATGGGCGACAAGCATTGCACTGCCTTCATGACTAGCTCGGGAAACTATTACTACAACGTAATGCCCTTTGGACTAAAGAACGCAGGGGCAACTTACCAACGTATGACGAACAGAGTGTTCCACAAACAAATCGGAGACATGCTCGAGGTTTACATGGACGACATGATCGTCAAGTCCCGAGCAGACACCGATCACGCAGCCCACCTCAAAGTAGTCTTCGCCCAAGCAAGGCAGTGTAAGATGAGGTTCAATCCCGAGAAGTGCATGTTCGGGGTCAAAGCAGGGAAATTCCTCGGGTTTTACCTAACAGAATGAGGGATCGAAGCCAATCCCGACAAATGTCGAGCCTTCTCTGAACTCTCGACACCTACGTCGAAGAAATCAATACAAGTCATGAACGACATGCTCACCTTGCTGTCCCGCTTCGTCGCGAGATCCGCTCAGCACGCCCTCCCCTTCTTCAAACTCCTTCGC